GATAGCTATTATTATTTGCGTTCTAACTTGGGGGAAGAGTTTAAGCCAAGATGCAGAGTTGGAAATGAATGCAATGTGTTAATGGGACAAATGAGGAAAGTAACTTGGCAATAGCATAGATAAAATAGAAGATATGTGTGTAACAAGGCAGGAAAGTTGCGCCTGCCTTTATGTTCTCAGATGACAAGTTCAGAGTTTAGCCCTTTATATATGTAGGAAACATTGTAGGTTTTGAATGGTTAAATGTTGCGATGAATAGTGATTTTGCTATGTGATTTTAATGCTGGTGTGCTGAATATATTTGGGGAGATCCATTTTATTGATCTTAACATCCAAATTCCAACATGGCTTTATTCACAGAAATTAATGAGTTTCTATCCTTCTACTCCTTCCCACTTTGTCTTTCTGGCAAATCTAATTAAACAGACAAATCAACAACAAAAGAAGCCAATGAAAATTGTAATAGTATATAACGCTTGGGCAATATAGTCAAATAAACTGATTGATTCCATCAAACAACTAATTCTACTGATTTTTTATACTAAGTTTATGGAAATTGACTAATAATTTTTGTCTAACCGGTTGATCTGGTTGTACATGTAGATATAACCATTGCTTATAATAGAAAAGAAAGAGTTAATTTGAGCATTTTTTTAGGAAAGTTAGTGTCAAACATATAAAATCTAGCTTTAGGAAAAAGCAGGCAATAACAGTAGTAGCTTCACTAGTACATTAAGACTAGTGTCATGGTATACTCAGTGGAGCAATTATATTTAAGGGTAATTAAACATAAGCAGGTACAGTGGAAAATGCAGGGAAGGAGTTGTACACTGAAATGTTCGTACCCAACTGCATCCTTTGCTCTCATTCTTTCAATCAAAACATGAAGCTAAAGCAGCAAATTCAAAGACTAGCTCAGACCCCAATTAGTCCCTCTCAAGTTCCAGAATAAGATTCTAGTAAAATTATAAATCTCTGCTCTGTTGTTTAGGCAGCTTGGTATTGACAGTTCTCTCCTTCCTTTCCCAAATAGTAACTGTGAATTTCAGATGAGATTAAAAAAAAATAAGAAAGAAATGAGCTTTCTTGCCCATGGCAGCATGTACTCTAGCTAATCTGCAAATGCCATAATTATGCAGGGTGCTGATAGATTTGTCTCTGGGCTGGTGGTCAGGATCCAGATGAACTGCTGCAGTTGCTGCTTCGTCATCACAAATGTTTTGTACTTCTTGGCAATTCCCAGGCTTAAACATGATATTGGAATTTAATGAGGCTCCACACCCATACATCCCATTGGGATGTGTTGGGGTAAGTGCAAGTTCATCCCCTTCTATTCATGGGTTTAGGGGAACAAAGGGTTTGTGTGTGGGCTGTCCTACTAGAATCATGTTTCCCAATGGCCTAGGAACCTTAGCTTAGTTAATTAGCGCACAGACAAGAGGCTAAAACCATTGATTCAGTATTGACCTCTTTACCTATCTCCTGCCTAAACTTCGGTCTTCCTATCCATCCTGCAAATGAAGGCTTTTGGTCACAAGGGGGCACCAAATAAGACAATGTGAGCTTCATTTAGCTTCATCTCTAAATTAGCCACAATTTTAACTGCCTTCTTTACCTTCCAAGGTCATTGGGTAGATCACATGAGCTAATGTATCTGAAAGCACTTTGAAAATTATGAACCACCTGTAAGTTTAAGGCACTTAAAATTATCATTAATATTAATAAATGTCAACTTCAATAATTAACATTTAACAATAGTAAAATCAGGGTAAATATATCCATTGTCTATGGTGGGAGTTAAGGGTAGGAGACAACAATGACCCCAAATTCATATCCTGCTTGAAAGTAGGACAAGATTATCATCTCCTTATATGAAATATTAATATATTATTTACAGTTGCTTCCCACCTGTCACATTCCAGTTAATTCATTTGGAAGCAAGAAATATTTGAAAATAAGATTGTCTAAGAATAGTTTCCAGCCAGCTAAGTGTTTGTTATTTGGATGTGTAAGGCAAATTGACAATAATTCTACAACAAAACCAAAGTCACTTTTTAATAAACTAAATGTAAAATGGCTGGATTTAATTTAATTTTAGTTTTATTCATGTTTTGAATACACAGTATATGCATATGGTTCAAAATGCACAAAAGGTATATTAGAGAAGATTAAATCTTCCTTCTGCCTGCCCCACACTGCCTTTCCCTCAGCCCTCACCATTCCTCAGCCATCTACTTCTATGCCTCAGAGGAAACTGCTATTACCTGTTACACGTGTATCTATCCAGAAATATTCCATATTTATGTAAATGAATTTATATATACATATATGTTAGCTAAACTAATATTGGCATGCTGTGTACACTATTTAGAACCTCGATTTTTCATTAAACAGTGTATCTTGGAAATATTTTCATGTCAAATGTGCAGATTCACCTAATTCTTTTAAACAGTTGTATCATAAATCATTATATGAAATCACCACAATTTTATTTAACCCATATCCTACTGATGGACATTTAGCTTATTTCCAATATGTCGCTATTACAAACAATAGCAAACTAAAACAACAAAATTGAACATCTAATATGACTGGATTTCGAATTTAAATACATAAATTTTATTTAAAGCATATTCCTGATGGTTCTAATAATATTTAAAGATCAGATTAAGGAGTGACTATAGTATTTATGAAATGAAGACTAGATATTATATAAGCAGGTCTGTCTAAATTATGCCCAAATCACCTTAGTTAAAACAAAAAAAAGTTTTTTTATTTCAAAGTATTACAGGGGTACAAATGTTTTTGGTTACATGGATCACTTTCGTTGCAAGTCCTGATTACACAGAGATGTATAATCACGTTATCATGTGAGCTCCAATCATCATTTCCCAACCTGCTCTCCATATGGAGTAATAGGTAAGGATTATCCCACATGATGATCATGGATCGCTTTTGTAATGCTTGAGTCAGGGTTAAAAGTGAGCTGTCACCCACATAGTGTTCATTGTACCCATTGGATAGGTTTTTGCGCATCCCCCGCCCCCTCTTGATTTCCATTGAGTTTTACTTCCTCCTATGCACATGTGTGCTTATGGATTAGTTCCTATTTAATAGTGAGTACATGTGGTGTTTGTTTTTCCATTCTTGTGATATTTCACTTCTGATATTAAAAAAAATGTTGTCCAGTTCCATAAGGACAATTCATGTTGTAAGCCATCAATAAAGATTTCTTGAAAAAATGATAATTAATTTACTAAAATTTTCCTATTTCAGGCCATTGAGATATCAGGAAGAAGAAGCTGATTTTTGTAAAGCTCTTTTCTGAGTATATTTCTAATGCATTTGTTTATTACCAACTGCAATTTTGGAAATCTCACCAAATTTGTGTATTTCCCTAACCTTACCTGTCCTGTGATCAACTCTTGTTTCTCTCTTTCTCTTCTCAATATCTTTGCAAATAGTATGAGCTCTTCTCTCATGTCAGGAGGGAATTCCTAAGCCAGTGAATCAATGATGGTTTAATAATTATCTTATAGCCCAACCCAATTCTATGCCTCCTATGAATTATTATAAAGTATAAAATATTTCTTTTTAGTAGGCAAGAGTCTAGTTGGATAGTTGAAGGAAGACATAAATACAGGAACAGTTAAAAGGAATTTGAGATATAAATAATAATTTGATACGTGTTGTTTTATGACAGCAATATATATGACATTATGTATCTGTATACCAAGTCCTTTCATTTCTTTCTTCCAGGTACCTCTCAGATTTTCCCCCTCCTTTTATTAAATTTCTCCTAACTCTGACTCCTCATCTTCCCCAAACACTGCAGCATGGTTACTTCATCCTCTTAACTAGTTTTTTCTTCTTCAGCCCATCCTATATATCAAGCCTATCATTGTTGGGTAGAATTTCCGTTTAGTCAATTTTTTTTTTGTTCCAAGAATCTACGATGGCATTCTAGCCTACCATAATATGTCCAAATTCCTCTGCGTATTTCTCAGGATCCTCCAGAATTGAGCCCTGTCCTGTGTATCTGGTTTCATCTCTAATTCATCTCATACAATCTCTTCTCTCCAGCCCACTTTCCTTACAGCACATTATGCTTGCCAAGTTCTATCTCTGTGCCTCAGTTTGTGTTGTTAATCTTTCCTGAATTTCTTCTTCCTTACTCTCTGCCTTTCCACATCTTCTCCATCCCTTAAGGTTCATATGGAGATCCATTCCCTTCACAAAACTTTCCCCAACCCTGCAAGTCAATATTAACCTCTCCTTTCTCCATTTATTTACCACCTATATATAGCCTTATAGCTCAAATGCTACAATTTTTACCAGGTTGTATTCTGTGTTCTATTCTCTGTTTTGGTGTGTTAGTCCTGTGTTCATAATCCTAGATTGTAAATTGAGGACAAGGATAAAGACTTTACTTCCTTTTCCATTAGCACCTAACACAGGACGTGGTTCATAAAAGATGCTTAATCAGTATTTTTGATCAGTTATCCTAATGAAGGTACCACTGCTTTATTATATAGTTTTTGAGGTTGGGGTGGAGAGTAGGGAATGAGTCAGGCTTAGAAGGTTCATGCCACTAGAAATGTCTATTAGGGTTATATTTCATTGAGAAATAGTGCTACAAAGCAGATGTAGGGGTTTAATGTTTTTTTCTGAAAAAAAAATAAGTTTGTCGATTATACTTTTAAAACCTCTATGTCTTTATATTCACAAGCTTATAAAAGCCACCCAAAAAGTCTATTTGTTTGATCTTGTTGGAAAATGTAGCTGTTGAAATGGCCTATTTACGGGGAATCAATGGTGCTGTAAATGTGCCGGGAAATGGATATTGTATGGATAGAGTAACTACTCAAGTAGGAACACTGTCTAATATATGTTTACATGCCATCAAGTCTACAAACATTAAATATCATACACGATAGAATCTTTCTTATCCTGTAATTTATCTCAATTTTTCCATTACTTTCTTTCATTTTCTTTTCTAGCTTTACTCACAGACAAGCCTCCCAAGCCATTGTTCCCCATGGAGAATCAGCCAAGTGTTATAGATGTCCAGCTGGGTAAGTCCCCTTCTGGGAATAATAGATCCTAAACTTGCTCTCTGTTAACAGATGGGGAAAATTGCATGAACCAGGAAAGGTTTATTGCCACTGTTATTACATGCAAATCAATTTGTGTTCTGCTTATTTATAACCCTGGAGTTCAGTGCAATAGCAGTTTAAGGAAATGAGTTTGTATTGCATCAAGGAATGGTTATACTAATTGGTTACACTGGGTATTAAGTGTGCTGTATGACAGAGCTTTTTAACTTGGTGATTGATAGATTCATGAGTGTCTTACATTGGTGATTGATATGGTAAACTTTTCATACATGTCAGCCAAAATTTTTTATTTGGAGAATATTATCTCCTGAAGATCAAGCATTTCTTAAAATAAAACACAGCTCTTCGGTTCAGCGTTTAAATGCTTTGATAATACTATATCCAATGACCCAATCCAGGGCTATTTAAAACTTGTTTTTAGGTTGGGATTCTGAATATTTATGAATCATACGGTGTTAGGAAAAACAAACAAGTTGATTTATGGGTGCTACTGTCTTTTTACAGACTCAAATAAGGACACAAGGTATTATGCCTCTTCTTAAAGTTCCCTACCACTAATCCTTATAATTTCAAGTAGTGTAAACTTGAAATTCAGAGGCCTGCTAAGATCTCTTTCAAACCGTGGCCTTTAATCTAAACTATGTCCTGTAACATTTGTGAGCTTTCATCTATCTTGGATTTCATCCTAGTATTCCAAATTTCTTCAATTCTAGACAAGGGAACCACAAAAGAACTAAGTAAACATTCTGGAAATGTATTGGGCTTACATTGGATATATGATTTATTGAAAGTTGTGACCATAATGGTACTCACCAATTATACAGTCAGGAAAGACAAATTGGTTCCAATATTTCACTCACTTTGGAAGCTTTTGACTCAACTTTTGATCTTTACAATCCAACTTGGATTGTTAGAAGCTTATTTCTATCTTGAAAATAGGAGAGAGAAAATTATATTCCTAAGAGCTTGTTCATTTTTCCAAAATGAAATATAGCACATTGTAGTTTTTAATTGCAGCCTAGCAATATGCATATCAAAGTTAAGTATTTTAAAACAAGAAGAAGAGAAAATAATAAACGTGTTGTCAAAATTAGACTGTGGAAGTGGTAAATATTTTGTAAATAATGTTGAAGTATTAGACTATGACTCTACTCACATCCTCTGTATTATTTTTCAGTCAGTATATTTTGTTAGAGCCAAATCAAGATGTGCTAACACCCTAATTCCTCAATAATTTTTACTTACATCTCTCCATCTCAAACTGAGATAAAATATCCCAAGAGTACTTTGTGGTTTGCCAGGGGTTACATGAAACCATATGATACGATGATCTTGTATCATGAAAGTGGAGACTGAAGTGGATAAATTGTTTTTATATGAATACTTGTATATTAAATAGGAAAAAGCAAAATTTGCACAAATATTTCAAGTAAAACATGAGTGAATTTTATGTTTGTGGCTCCTAGGAGATACTCCCTTTATTCTGGAAGTAAATTATTTTAGTAATTGTAGAGGGTTATAGTGTTGGTAGGGTATTTTGACATATATACCTATGTTGGAATACATATTTATACAAAGCACACATCTTCTAGATGTCCTGAATGGCACCTACAGGTCTTGCACTCAGTGAACCCGAATGAAATGCATCCCCTTGCTAGGGTCCCTCTCCTTGCTTTGGAGCAGGACTTCTCAAACTTGTCTGTCGAAATGTACAATTACTAAAATAATTTACTTCCAATTTATATTAGATATAAGGCTGAACTTTTCAGATTTTAGTTTATAAGACAATCTGGAAACAACTTTATAGACAGAAAGATGGAAACCTGTCCATTTTACATCCCAGAAAGGCTGTATCTCTGAGATGTTAAAACAACGATATAACTCAGAGAAAGAAAAGCAAAATCAGTCAAATCAGATCTTTGACATTTCAAGGAGCACATGACTAGTTAATTTTAAGTGATTTTAACTTTTCACAGATTTATTTAGTACCATTTATTCACAATTGGAAATCATTTTGTAAGTTGCTCTTATACCTCAATTGTAAGGTGACATTAGAGGCACTATAAATGTCAAAGAGGTCCTCAGTGTCAGTGAGAGATCTGCAGTCAGATTGACGAGAGTTTAGAAAACTCCAGGTGTAAAAAAGAGATAGAGAAAGATAACTGGGGCTATTGGACTTCCCTGTCTACATCTGGAAAACTTTCAGAATTCAGTAAGGTAATGAAATGTCCAGATTCATCTTTGGACTCAAAGAAGAACTAAAATAGAACTGCCAAAAAATACAACAACCTAATCCAAATGGCTAAGCACATTACTGAGTTTGGGTTTCCCAAATCCCATCACTTAAAATCTTAGACAACATGGTGGTAGATTAAAGTTGGCCACAAATGTTTGGCTACTTCTACCATCTAAACATTGTTTCTCATTCCCCTCTCCTTGAATCTGAGTTGGCCTTAGGGACTTACTGGACCAATAGAGTATGGCAGATGTTCTGAGATATTAGAGGCTGGGTGGAAAGAAACTTGCAACTTCTGTACTGGTCTCTTGAAACCACAGTGCTGCTTGATGCTCCAGCCACATGGAGAGGCACAAGAGGATGACACACTATGTAGAGACAGAGAGAAAGAGTGGCCAACTAGCACCAAGGCACCAGACATGTGAGTGAAGAAGGTGTCCAGCCCAGCTGCCCTGGCTTATGCCCTGTAGATCAGAGACAAACCACTGAGCCAAACTCTTTTCAAATTTCTTACCCCAAAAGTCATGAGCAGAATAAATGGTTGTCATTGGCCACTAAGTTAGGGGTAGTTTGTTAAGCAATAGTAGACAACCAAAAGAAACATTAATTAGTTTCTCTAGAGCATTCTCAATTCCATTTGCCTATGGATGAATATCCCATGTAGCCATTTTATGTAAAATAAGAAATGTATGGGGAACACTTGAGTACCAGCTTTAAGATGGTTTTAGAAAACATGGTAATATGGTCTGCAATAATTGTTTATGTATTTGTTTGAGGGTTACACTCAGTTCTCAGTTCTGGATATTTCTAAAGGCAACCCAGTAAATGAAAAAATTCAGTACAAATAAATACTTTTTAGTGCATGGAGTTGGCATGAGTATAGATATTTTGTTGTGTCTCTAGAGGAAAATAAACATCTTGACTTTCTCGCTCCCATAGTATAATCCATTAGTCATCTGCAAGGTTCTAGAAATTTACATACGTTTTTGCTGACATCGTGATGACAGTTTGGTGTTGCTAAATTGTGTTCACATTGTAATGCTGAAAGAAGATTACTCTTAACCAAATAACCATATATATTGAGATGATAAACACATTCTTAACAAAATAATCTGAAAACCATTGCTCTCACAAAGCAAGCCTATGCAGCTAAAACTGCCTGTAGTAATGTATAAAATATAAAGATAAAAACAATGTACAAAACACACACAAAATCCAATTTGGTCCTGTTGTCCTCCATTTATTTTCTTGCTCTGAAGGGAAATTTAGCTTTAAATTTGAAAAATAAACCTTTGCTATACCAGGGCTAATTCCCTTTTCAGCAGTTGAAAGGGAATATATTTTCAATGATTTTTCTACAAAAAACAACATTGTATTACAATATATTAATTTATATTGCACCTTTAATACTGAAGTATTAAAATGTCATAGGGACATGTGCTCCATTTGAAATGTATTCATGATAGGTAGACCCTTTTTTATACGGTGTTTTTTATAGGACCCAAATGCATGCTTTATAAGCTATAACATACTACTAGCAGCTTTGAAAAAAACATGAACAAATTTGGATGCAAAGATTTGAGATCTGCCATTTAATTTTAATTAAGGGTGAATTTGAAAATGTGCTCTGTTTTTCTCACTGACGATGATAATTTTCTTCTTGGAAGTTTCCTAAGATTGAGAAGAATCCAGGCAATGTTATGGAGAAAATAAACACAAACACTGTTTACTTTCTCTTTCTGTGTTGAAGAGTAGAAAAGAGGGCCTGGGGCCGTAAGGCAGATCAGAAAAACTCAGAACAGTAGAACAGTCCGAGCTAATTGGATTATTTCAGATATTTCAAAAAGCCAATAGTTCATCTCTAGATGAATATGATCTGGTACAGAAGATTTTTTTCCTTCTTTTCTATTCTCATTAAGAATTTATTTTATATTTACTGGCTATTTGATTTTATATTTCATGACTTTGTTACATGCTACTATCTCAAACTATCTCTATGTGTATAAGGAGTGTTAATCTTCATCTGAAATCGATTTCCCCAGCATATCACTGTCTACTGAAAATTATATCAGATCCCCTAAGAGACCACTGTAAAAGACTGTAAGAGAATAAATCAAAATATAACATTTAATCCAATACTCAGGACTAGAAGGAAAAAAAAATAACTAGTTGAACCCCAAATTAGGAAATTAGCTATTCAACCAAATCTATGTTTATTTAACCTTTATTTACCTAAAAACATTTATTGAATTCTTACTGATTGCCAAACAGTGTATTAGAGCCTGGAGATACAGAGGTGAGTAAAATGAGGTTCTTGGCCGTAAGGAGTTCTCGATCTAGTGGGGAAGACAGATGTATAAGCAGAATTGCAATGCAATATAATAACTGCCAAAACAGAGATGGGAAAAGGGAAAGTGACTTTCTTTGTGGCAGGACTTTATGTATTAAAGGTTCTGGGCTCTTAGGCTTTCACTCAACACAATGACATAGCTCTGTAATCTCAACCCAATTACGATATTTATTTGAAAATAATTAAGAATTTGCAAAGATAGAACCTTTTGAAATCATAAATTGCCCACTAATTTGCTTCAATATAGCAAATACTAAAAATGGAAACTTAAGATACCCATGAGTCAGTTCAGTTTTGCAAAACTAGTCAACTCTTTCTAAAGTTCACGTAGAATAAACAAGCCAAAGCTAGCTACCAACCAATTGAGCTAAA